CTTCGCGTCGCGATCGGGCATGCGCGCGCAGCGCTCCTGTGGCGCTGCACGATCTGACCCGGCTGATGCTGCCATCACGCCGGTGACGAACAGACCGAGATTCATAATTGAATCCGGAACATGTGGATACGCATTGCATTCGTCGTCCGCGAGTTTTTGTATGGTGCGAATTGCTAGAAACGGAGAGGACGCCACGCCGAACGTAAGCGTGTTTAATTGAAATGTCGTTATATCGCCGTCTCTACGCCAGAGAATCCTTTGATACCGCCGATCGTCTTCATGCAACAATACCTGACGGTACATCTTTTCTATGTCCGCGGTAATCACGACCTTGTACGTCCGGAACCGAATTATGTGTGCAAAAAGTTTATCTTGAATCATGATGGTCGGTATTGTCAGACATGTTAGTTCCTTGCTAAAGCCGTCAATCGTCGATTGTATCGTGATTCTTACTAAGCCCCTTGATTCAGTGTTCGTAGCGTTAATCGCGCCGACGGACGACGAGTGCGCCGTCACGGGCAAGCCCAGATGTTTCACGACGGATTCCGAAATAAAGTTCGCGGTAGCGCACGTGTCTAACAACGCTCGGGCCTTGATGGAATTGCGTTTACGATCACGGATGTATATTATTGCACTAGTTAATAATTGGGGTGCTGATAGGGGTGATATCGTCGCGAGGCTTATTGTTCTCCCCCCTGTCGAGTCGGCTAGTCATGCGGCTGTGACCGTCGCAGGTTTCGATGCATCCGGTTTGCCAGCGTTCGCGTATTTATCATAATGCAAGAGTGTGTTGTGTCGCTTTTGGCAAATAGTGCAACTTGAAAATTTGTAAGGGCTATCACGATGTGAGCGCAGACAGTTGTAACAGATCTTTGCGTTCTTTACTAACTCGATACGTTTAGGCACGGACAGTTGTTTGAACTTGTCACACAAGTATAGAGGATGTCGCTTGGTTTTGCACGCCACGCAATTACGCGATGAGTTTAGTACGAACGCTTGATTCGCGGAATAACGCTTCCTCTTAACCGGGGGCTCGCCCTTACCTCTCTCATTGTCCGCGATCTTTATCCTTTCGCGTCTCGATGCACAAACCGCGGCCTTGTACAAAAATTCGTACATCTGTTCGAGATTCGGAAATTCGTCTCTTTCGAGACTCGCTTCCCATCTTTCTAATGTGGTCTTCGGCAACTTGCTTTCTAGAATGTGTACGATCATTTCGGACCCGACGGAAACTCCCAGCGCGCTCAATGAAGCAATATGCTGTTGAGTATCATCAGCGAGTTTAGATAGACCGCTCGTCGTTTCTTTATCTAATGTCGGTGTATTTAAGATAAGTGAAAGATGTCGAGATACTAAGACTCTTTTCACTTCATATGAGCGCTCTAATAGTTCCCATGCGTTTGAATAATTTATTCCGTTGACCGCGAAAATTTTTACCTTATTCGCTGCTTCCTCGATTAATGCGGATTTTAAATAGTGCAATTTGTCTACATCCGACAAATCGGTTTGCGACCCTATCATGTTACTAAACGCGTTTTTGAATGAGAGCCAGTTTTCGTACTTGCCGTTGAACGTCGGCAGTGGCGCGTCGGGTAATTTGATTCGCCGTTTCTTGACGGGAGCGATGTTTGATCCATTATCAATTCGCGGCTCGTCGCTTGTTGTACCGATTCGCGGCTCGTCGCCTGATGTACCGGTTCGCAGTTCGTCGTCTGTTGTACCGGTGTCCGCGTTCGGAATATTCACCGGGTTTAAAATATTTTCGGCCTTACCCGCCAGATCATAAAACCGTTGTTGAACTTGCGCGAACTCATTTCGATGACCCTCATCCGGCTCCAATATCATGAGTTCATCGTTATGTTCCTCAAATGCATGATATAAATCTGTTAGACGGGCGATTCTTAATTTTAATGCGGCGTTATCTATCTTTCCTTTATCGAGAAGATTGCCTAAATTGGTGATCTGAGACTTTAGGGAGGTCCGCTTTTGCACAAGGAGCTTAATCCTTTCCGACATGTTTAGGCGATTCAGGATGGGATCAGGAAATAACGACTTATACTCTACTTGGCTGTAAGATGCGGGTGGATGTTGTTCGTTGCTTCACCCTTCTGGCAGCCTCGAACTCGTAGACGCGTGGAAGAAGTCGTCCTTCTCCTTCACCGTTCTGGTAGCCTCGAATTCGTAGACGCGTGGAAGAAGTCGT